GCACATCATGATCAAAGCTATCAAATAGAAAGTTATTCGATTGGTGATAAGGTGTTATTAGAATGATCCTTCTTGTTAATATCGTATAGTGCAAAACTAGAACCAAAATTTACAGGTCCATATTATATACACGATATTTGCGGCAATGGTACATATAAACTACGGGTTATAAACAAAATAACAAAGGGTCAGCCTGGTAAAATAGAAAAGGTTCTTAAGAAGGCGGTGTATGAAAACTAGTTAAAACGATATGCAGAATCTCAAGTGAATAGAAATCCTTTGACTTATAAATACGGCTCGAATTAACCCTTGATCCTTTAAGTATAGAATCTTTTTAGATAACTGCCCCTATCTTAAAACTTCTTCTAAAAATGCAATGATATATTAGAGGATCCTCCGTAAAAACTCTTCGTATTACTAATGATACTATCGAGTTTCTCGATGGTCAGGGAGAACAAGTTCAAGTTAATTTTGCACCTGATATAAATAAAGAACTAATTGAAGGAGACCGAATACATCTATTTATTGAAGATCTCCATAGGATTGGTAATCCTATGACAGAGATTGAGAAGGTAGATGGTAAAAATTGGAGTCAACAAATGGATCACGTTTGTATCTGACTCCAATTTTGTCGATTGGATCGTGCTACCTTACTTCGGTATTATTACCAGTTGGGAGAAAAGTTGGCCACATATAATTGGAATGCATATGCAAAAGAAGAAATAAGAGACCGATTTACCTCTAGTCGTTTTAAAAATGCTCTAAAGGTTGCTTATTGTGCTTTTGCCTTATACCATGTTTGAGGTGCACATAATTTGTTAACTACGCATCATTTATCTGCCAATGCTTTATTAGTAATAAGCACCGAGAACATCAACATATTGCTTGAAGAGGCCCAGAAGGGAAGCCAAGAAGAAATTGAGCAAATGTTAGACCTTGACTAGGTGTTCGCAGGAGCTCACACCTAACGAGGGGGGTATGTTACGCTTTTTTCTTCGAAAAAGCGTAACTGGTAGTAACGAGAATGTGTATGTTCGGAACCATATGGAAATTATGAGGCTGAATCAGAGGCAAAGGCTTAAAAGTTTAGATCTGTACAAATATTTATTTATTCGTTATTTTTATTTATTTTTATATCTGTAGATTTCTTTTATTTGTTTGTTATTAAATGGCGTAAGGATTAGACATGTACTAAAGCTTAGATAGGTTCACAAAATAGAAAGTAAAGGGAGGTTAAACGTAAGGATTTGGAATGATAACCAAGGACCTGGCTTAGAGGGTTTAGGTCTGGACGGGCTAAGGTCAGAATTAAAGAAAACAAAGACTAGACATAGACTAAGAGATAGAAATGTACTTAGTTTCTTGTTGTAAGCCTTCTATGTAACTCGAAAGTATAAAAGAGCTGTCTTTTTGCTCTTCGAATAAAGCTTTATTTCATTGTCTTTAATATAGGAGTATTAAGAATTGATCTCTCGAAATTGATGTTATAAAGTTATCATTGTATTGTCATATTTCTTTTATATTTTATTTTCCTTATCTTAACTATAAAGGTGCTTCACGATCATATTATACATTTTATTATAACCTGTTATTTTATTACCTTATAAGTATCGACCTTTATTATCAGTTGTATTGATTAACTATCGATATTACTGATTTATTTAATTACGATTACATAAACTTGATTTATTTAC